GATATTTTATCAATCCAATATGCTGATATGTATTACTGAGAGCTATTCATCTGGATCAAAATTTTTCGCCTTGCACTTTCATGTGACTTTGACCTCGAATCTTTTAAATTTGTATTTTGCTTTGTTTGCTTGGTTTTAAAGAAATAATTTCAGATATTTTGTATGTATCCATTATACATCATTTGGTGAGAAATTATAATCGATATACATTTTTTTTAGGTTTTGAAAAAAAAATCTTTTAACATATTTTCATTAAACCTCATACACTGATATAAATATGCTTATATAAAAATACTGATATAAAAATACGACTTTTCAATTTCATACATAGCCATTCCCCACGATAAATTAAGGTCCAGTTTTTTTATATCATTGACAACTGCTTTTTTAAAAAAAAACTCGTGAATTTACTTACTTGGTCATTTATTTTGTTAAAACACACACTGATTGCACACTAGCACTCAGAAATTGACTTCAAAAAGATTCTTGTGATTTTGACAATATCTATAATATTTTTGGAGACCAGGCCCCGGGATCATGAAGCATCTTAAGCTTAAGTCAAAAAATGCCTTAGATGCTGAATTATTTTAGATGTCAAGCAGCCCAAAAGGAAAATGCCTTCCGATTTTGTATCATCAGTCTGCTGTTGTATGCAAATTATGAGTTTCCTTTAACAAGTTTTAAAGATTTTATAGATAATTGAAATTTTGAATTAAGTCTAAGTCTTTTTCATGATCCCGGGGCCTGGTCTTCCAACAATTTATTGTAATTCCCATAAGTACCAATTGCGCTCCGTTATTAACAGACATATTTTTGTATTCATATCAAGCAGAATTTGTGCAAAATCTTATCCTTGAAAAGAAGAAGGAAACTTGCTGTGGCCTTCAACTCAGCATTTAGATATATCGACGACGTATTGTTTACAATTAACAATAGTAATTCCCATTCCTACGTCAATACAAAATATCCCGGTGAGCTTGAGAAAACAATTCCACAGAGTCCTACACTTCTGTTTCATACTTGGATATTTCACTTGAAAAAAAGCACGAATGGTAATCTAACAACCAAGCTATATGGTTAACGTGACTTTAACTTTTCTATCGTCAACTTCCCTTACTTATGCAGCAATATACCTTCATCACCTGCATGCGGCGTTAAAATATCTAAGTTGATTTGATACGCAAGAGCTACTCTACGTATGAACAATTTCGAAAACGAGGTAAATTATTGACAAAAAAGTTCATGAAACAAGAATATTTGCAGTCTCTCAAGTTCTTCGGTCGATACAATGACCTTGTCAGTAAATACAATTTATTGAGTCAAATGCTGAATGACGTTTTTCATACTAATTGTAAGTCCATTATTTATTCACTGACTTGACGACGGATTTTCCCGTTATTTCCAAATTATAACAAGGAACAAACGGCGGGTGTGACCGGTCACCAGGAGATTCTCACTTCTCCATGGCACCTGATCCCACCTCTGATGTTTTGGAGGTCCATGTTTGCTCTGCTCCTATTTTGTATTGTTTTATGGAATTTGATATTGAATACGTTTCGTTATTTTCTATCCTTCATTCATGTTTTGTATAAATCATGACTCCATGAATTTAGGAATAGCTTTTTTTTCCTGCCCCTATTTGTCATCCGCATGAAAATGCAAATTTTGAAACCATTTTACACATCCACATGACAAAACCAATTATTTTTCAAATGATCATGATTTAAGGCTAATGCATAAAATATATGGGTAGTTCTGAGAACTGGTGTGTTTAAACATGTTATTTTTTTTTAATTGACAACCATGTGCCACCCCAGGGTCATAAAATATTTTGAGTTAGATCGAGGCTTTAATGATCATATAGAGAAAATACATAAATTCTCTAAAAATATTCTCCTGTGTATTTATTAGATGAGTTTTTTTTTTACAAGTAATAGCTATTACGTAGTGAGACAGTCCATGTAGAACATTCTATCGGTCTAACACTAATGTAACTTGACTGTTGCTACCTTATAGCTGACCGTTGATCAATAATTTTGTGCTGGTGCATATCTATATTTGTCTGCCAAAAGTAAATTTTGTGACGATCATGGGAATATTGTCACAGCAATATAATATTTTAGTATTTATTTATAAGGTATGGATATCAAAGAACTTAAAGAAGAAGGGGCTCAAAATCTCAATCACGAAGAGGACAAAGATTAGAACCATATAGGTCTGACTTACAGTGTACATAGACAGAATAATGGTGAAATTTATTCTATGAAATAAATTTCTCTAAACATTTTTAAAACTATTCTTAAATATTTGAATATTTATCACAAACTTAAGTGAAGAACAGATAGTTTTAATCGCTTGTTTTTCTTCTTGCTGATGTCATAAAAGAATTATATAACTTTAATTTTCAGGTTGTGATAACCCCAATAATGATGTTTGGATAATATTTAGATTTTGTATTGGATTTTTGATTTCCAGTTAAATGTTTCGTGAAAAATGAGAAAACTTTCAATTTTGAACACATGATAAAATTCTGAATATAAAAACTGTTTGTGGACTTATTCTGTGCTCTTCATTTATACAAGATCTCTGTCAAAATTGCAATTTATGGTTTTGTTATTTCTCAAAAAATTATTTGAATGCCGTCATGAGAAAAGGGCTCTTATCTTTTGACGTCACAATGCTCAGAAAACGACGTCAAAGTCGCGATATTGTAAGCACGGAAGTGTTTTTTGTTGACTGCATTTTGTAAACAAGAAATAAAATTGAATTTCAAAGTGTAACAAAAATTTCAAACTTGATGCTTTCATTTTTTAATAGGTATATGATATTTTTACTTTTTAGTATGTCAATTTATTTAGAATTTTGTTTACGTATTTAACTTGATGTTGATATGCATGACATTGGACATGCACATCCCTAGTTCTGGAACAGCGATTAAAACGATGTCTATGCATGACTAAATTAAAGATGCTGCATATTTGTTTTCTGAGCAATTTACAAATGCTTCCATTTTTTAATTCATGTTAAGAAGTCTTAATATTAAAAGTTAAATTCTATATACATGTATATTTTTTTTCAGAGAGAGAGAGAGAGAGAGAGAGAGAGAGAGAGAGAGAGAGAGAGAGAAATTTATGCACATCAAGTAATTACCCTTCTCATAAGCGCTACTTTTTTCCTGAAAAATATCACCCATTGTTCTTACCTAATTATCAAATGTGTGGAAAACGGGAACACACCAAAATATATACCACAATTCAAAACGTAATTAGCCATTTTAATTTTAATCCGTACTTAATCATTCTGATGTACCCCGATAGCCAGCCTTTGTTGAAATTTCGATTTTAAAATTTGTGTTAAAAAGGGGGGGGGGGGTTAAGAAGACAAGCCAAAAAAAAAATCGAATAAAAAGACTTGTGAAAGTTAAAGCTAAGAAACATAATCCCTCCTTGATTGAAAAAATATACTGGTAAGATGGGAGATCCAAACCTACTGCATCAACAATAAATATTTTTTTTACTAAATTAACAGTAATAGAATATGCTATGGAAAAAAGGAGGATGGGAATGCTACAGAAATGTTGCTGAAATGAATCTTGTTTCAAAAAAATAATTTAAAATGATCAAATAAATACATTCAAAGGAATTGTATGCATTTGTAGACTTTTCCCAAAAGCATTATACCCAATGTTGAAGAAATTAACAATATTACATCGACAGTAATATTATGAATGAGAATATTTATAAACGAAAAGGAAAAAAACTATAGATTAAGCGAAGGAATTTCTTGCTTATATCAGATATATGGCTACATCTCTTGAGAACACATCACTGAAAGAGCAAAAAGTATGTGACAAATGGTTACATGAATGTAATTTCCAAAAGTTATGTTTTTTTTTTTTTTAAATCTTTAAAAAGTATAATGAGAGTGAAATATATATATCACTGACTATTAAATTCATGATATAAAATAAATAAGTCACGTTTTGCGTTGAAATCTTCAACTTTGATAAATGTATCAAAATACCCCGCATATCTCGATCGACATTTATTTCTTACAGTTCTGTTGAAATCGAGATAAGATCTAGACTTTATATCATAATCCTAACATGACTCTATGGAAAGGAATTAAGAAACAAACACATTTTTTTCTGTTGTTAAAGAAAATATTGGCCATTACAGTCGCACGCAAGAAGCAAGGGAGGTGGGGGGGGGGGGGTGGGTTACATTGAAAGTCTGGACCCCCAACCTCCACACACACACAATTTTTGCTGCAGCATAGTCAAATTCGTGCACTATAGGACAAAACAATAAGGCAGTTTATTATGTTTGATTAAGAAAATTGGATACTGAAATCTTGACTGAACCTATCCCCCCCCCCCTCTCCCAAACGACGAAATTGGATTCGAGTTTCGACAACCCCCCCCCCCTTTTTTGGTTGAGTAGTTTAGTTTCTTAATGGTAAATTTATTTTTTTCTGGCTGACCCCCCACCCTTTTCCAAACGAGTTGTGTGGGGACAGGCGAAGATACGAGTCAAATGTTTTTTTTGTTTTTATGTTTGGTATGTTTTGAAGTAATAACTAGGGGAAAATGGTTTGCCTAATTATTTTCAGCGAAAAGCGAAAGAGAGTCAAATTAGGGCATTTTGATTTCTTATTTTCATTTTTTTTTCAAGTATCGGTTATCAAGTAGTGATACAACACTATACTCTACTGACACATATATTTTAATGGTTACTCACGAATAGAGATCAGGTTAGAAACCCCTGTTTGTACAGATACACTTTGTTTTATGTTGTTACTTTTCAAATATCAGTCATCAAGAAATGAGTTCATATAGAACACTATATCAATGTTACTTTAATAACTGTACTGTTTGCTCAATAACAGTGGACTGTTGGTCAATAATATTCTGCTGTTTCAAAATTATTCATATTGGACTTTAGTATTTTAAACGGTCATGTTCAACGTAATAATGTCACAGTTTTAAGTATATTTTTAAGGTGTGGATAAAAGAGAACTTCGAGAAGAAGGAGCTCAAAATCTTAAATATAAAGAGGACGAAGATTAAAACCACACGGGTCTGGATTACAATGTACAAAAATATTAAGGCAAAATAATATACTCTTAACTTTTAAACATGTTTAATTTTTCTAAATAAAATTTTCAAAACCTTAAATGAAGTTTTGACGGGTCTAATCGCTGGTTGAATTTCTGGTCTGGTCATCATAAATTCTTTTTCTTGCTAATTACACACATTTGAATTTTATTTTCAGGCTGTGACAACAACCATAAAATTTGAACTGATTTCAATTTCGGATTTTCAAAATAAAGTGTCTTGAAAAATAAGAAAAAAATTAATCATGAAGTGTATTCTGTATTATTCAATTAATAAGAATATTTGTAAAAATTTTCAATAAATGTGTTTGTTATTTCTTTAAAAAATATTTTCATCACATATGGGATGTTCCAGCAAGAAATATGAATGTATATTTTTACATCCCTTTAAATTGAAAAATGCACGTCTTGAGGATGCTTCCATATTTGCATGACACATCATGACTGTACTTTTGAAAGCTTTTATCCTATACATTTGGAAAAAAAATATCCTAATTTAAGAGAGTTGAAATTTAACAAAAAAGTCATCATCATGCATGCACAGAGAAAGAAACAGATAACAAACTTTTAAAGCTTTTACATATTGTATGAATTCAAGTTTAGTTCGGTCAATAAATATCCGTTTGTATATGATTGGGGCCAAAATATAGAATTGGTTCGGGGAAGGGAAGGGAGCTTTAAAAATCTAACGAAAAAAAAAAGAAAAAAAGATGGACGTTGTTCACAATTGCTATTTGGCCCTTTTTGCAAGTTATTTTTTTACTCAAATTGGATCGGTGCTTTATTGTATGCTAAACAGTTAATATTAAAATTTAAATTAATCTACTCTCCAAAACCCCTACCAATCTGTGTGAAGTCAACTTTGTATGGACTAGGATGAGGAGAGTAATTTGTTCAAAAGAAATATATTGAAATAGCAACTACTTCAAGGTATAAAATTCTTTAAACAAAACAAATCAGGCACTGGGCAAACAAAAATCTATTAAACATCAAAGGTAGGTTCAGTTGCCATGCAGAAGTGAGCATCCCTTGTCAACCGCCGTGTACTCCTTGACATGGTCAGAAAATTGCCCAGCAATTGGTATGCAAAATGAAAGTCAGTATTTGAATTTAACATAGATTGTAATTACTGACAAGGTCATTTAATCGATCATAGAACTTACAAAATACTGACTACATATATTTTTGTACACAACTTGTTTGTCAAGAACTTACCCCGTTTTAGAAAATGTTTATATATAGAGCATATGCTTTTGCGTATCGAATCAACTGAAAGACGTCTGAGAGATATTTATTGCCACTATTTATGTTGTTCAATCCTTTCTATTGAAGTTTGAACCGTGCCGAATTCGGATAAAACCAGAGCAAAATCAGTATGGGCTAAACTTGGTGCGATGGTGTAATTTTACTAGTATGTAATGAATTACTTTTTACTCACTTAATCAAATAAAGTGAAAAGAACAGTAATAATGCCAAAAATCCAATCAAACAATACAAAGAATGGATAAATAAAATAAAGTCGTCGCGAATAAAAGTTGGTTTACAGTAATACAATGAATGGATGGCCTTAATACCCAATTTTGGATCTTTTTGCGACTACTCTACTAACTATAAAGGAAGTCAATCCAAAATATATTACAAGCAATAGAAAGAACAAGGCATACAGTGTTATTTTAGGTAGAACATTTGCACAAAACCAATGCCTTGTTGTCTTGAGTGAACATTGATGCACCGATACATTTGTGTAGTCTTGGATTTTTGACATGTATCCGGCGTAGTTTTTAGGTCACGGAATGAATAATAATACGAGGCAAGTCTATTGGTCAGCGTATTTTTTGACATTTCTCTCTCTCTCTCTCTCTCTCTCTCTCTCTCTCTCTCTCTCTCTCTCTCTCTCTCGAAAATCTAACACGTGTTTGGCATATTATATTATATGTATGTCACTATGATTTTTTTACATGCGTGAATAGGCAAAATTAAAAAAAGAAATTTATTTCCCTAATTCTGAAAACGGCAACCAAACATAATGATTGAGGTCAGGTTGAAGAATACCATTTGCACAAGTACACTAGCAAGTAGACATCACGTGTTGAACTGAAATATTTAATAAGTCAATCAAAGTGATAACAATACTCAGCTATGTTAAGGACCGATATGGAAAATGTAACCTTTGCACCGTTTTAATATGTATTGCTTCTTTTAAAAAAATTAACAAAGCAACTGAATACTTGTAGAAAATATAATATAGCTATCAATTATGGATAGGACTGGGTCGTATTTATTACCAGTTATATCGCACGTATCAGCTGTTTGTCACGTGACTTGTATAAAAATAGAATTGTTAAGCTGAATGTAGGAAATGGGGATAGTGCAAGGGCATACGCTTGTTTTTCAAGAAAGAAATTGATACACATTAAAAGAGGTTTATATCCTCTACCCAAAAAGTGCTGGGAGCTAGTCAATGCTGTTTGCGAAGTACTTAAAATTTTGCCGAAAATGCTTATAATAGCTAAAAATTTCCCCTTTGCTTAAATTCTGTTATAAATAAAATTAATGTTATGCAGACCAGGATCAGCTCCCAGCACTTTTCAAAATATACACTATATAAGCAATAAATATTCCAAATTTCAGCTCAAACAAAATAGTCTATGCCCTTGCACTTTTGATGTAAATCACGAATTCGCTCATCGTTTGAGCGATATTCTCTATATTCTTTATCTCATTGCAGCTTCAATGCTACTAGATAAATTCATATTCTATACACATTGTATTAAATAAATTAATTTGTTTTAGTTTTAATGATTAGGTCTAAAAAAATAGCAATGGTATCATGTTTATTTAAGCATTCTTGTAATTATTAAACCAGTGTATCTAGTCCTTTAGATCACCTGTGCTGCGTCATGTCAAGGCTGATGACGTCATATTTGACAAAAGGCTTTCTTCTATTACTCGACTGTATCGCTATCAAGTATTGCAATTTTACAAGATTTTATGAATAATCGATAAAAATAAATAAATTCAAGTTGTTATTTGGGCATGATCATGTTGTTAATTAATTTTTGTGGCTTGTTAAATTTCAATGACGTCACAATTAAACTTCCAATACTATGTACAGGGAATGTGAACTCTGACCTTCCTTAACATAGCCGAGTATAAGCGAGAAGTTTGATTTGAACATGTTTTTGTTAAATTAAGTTTGTCGGCCCTTCTCCTTTTAATATGACATTATTTTGTTCAATATACAACTACAGTTTTCTTAAGAACAGTCGACAAAAGTGGGCTGACTATGTATTCAAACGATGAAAAACGCGTGACCCTGCGTATCTGTTGATATTCAAGAAATCGCCATACACCATGTCTTCGACGTTTACCTTTAAAAGAGCGCTTTCATGCGGTTTACTTCAAAAAGAAAGTTTTAAATTTACATCTGTACTATTGATATATAGTTAAGATAATAGGGGGTTTATATCATGATTATATGAAACTTCAATTTAATTTTTTTTTCTGTACTGTATTAAACAGTACAATAAAAACATTGCAGATAGGGCATTTGTTTGAAGACCAATTGATAAATCTATAATGCACTGTTTTTGAACTTATGTTTAGTGGATAAATATCAAACATGAGAAATAAATTTTAAAAAGTCTGTTTAGATAAAGTTATGAAACAAAAAATACCCTGCAATAATCTAAGAGATAAATATAAGGCTCAACAGGATACAACTATGTCATCTTTAAAAACCAGTTAAAGAAAAAATGCACTGAAAGGTCTTTAATAAGTGCGTGCTTTCATTTTCTTAAAGCCATTTGGTCTTTTTCTCTTAAAACAGTGAGTAATTTTCAGCCAAGTCGTGGTTTATTGTGACATGTTTTGAATTCTACAGCTTTAGATTTCAGTGTTTCACGATAAATTCCCGGTAAACAGACACACTTCTCGTTCTCCTCTGGGCTGTACCTGTCGCTCCTGAAGTATCTCCCCAGTATCATCAAATTTCGACTCTCAAACAACGCCTCCATCTTGCTTGTAATACTACCATGTTGTAAGAATGTCCAAAGAGTCGCAAACTCTACGTCATCAGAGGCAAAGGTCACGTGACGTTCGGAACACTTGAGAGTTGATAATTCCTTGCACTTTTTCCTGAATTCCTGGGGCGTCCTTGTATGTATTGTCGTGTTATGGAATCGCTGATAAATATCGTTGATTACGGACATGCCTTTTAGTGCCTTCCAGCGAAGCCTGGAGTTTTTACTTAAGAGGACGCCGTAGTGTAGACTTCTTGTGATGGCTGTTTCTGTGGTGTGACAGAAAGGATCTAAAGATATAATAGAATGAAGAACTTGATATATCACATAAATATAGCCCTTTGATGAGGTCGATCCATAGATATATTAATTTTGGCTGTGAAGTGAAATTATTTTACCTTTATATTGATACAGTAATTTAGAGAATTTGATCATTTAAAAAGCTACATTTGTTTTATTTTGTTTTGATTTTTGAAAAAAAAACATCTGTAATATGTTTTAATATGAAGTGTATTCAATTCACTAATATGCCTTATCAATAACTGTATTTCATAATAATAAATAGGAGTTTACGTTTATCTTTATTTTTCAGAAATATCAAGTCATACACTGCATTAACTATTGCTTACAGAAAAAAAATATTTCCATATTAGGAATATCAAGTCTATCTGCATTTTAAAATTTATAAATAGTAACACAAGCCTTTGTGCGTAATATACTTGATCATGTGATCAAGATTTAGACAATCAGAGAGCTTGGTATTAATTAAAAAAAAATAATAAGTCTTTTATTATCTTAAAAATATCAAACTATTATTTAAATATAAAGTATAAGAGCGACAAAACAATATTCATGAATTGCAACTGAAACCCCAAATTATGTTGCCAATATTCAGAAAATTGATCTTAAATACGAATTCATACGAAAAAAA